CTGTATATATATTCATTAATGTCAATTACCCATAATATTATTATACAGAATATAGCAGCAACAATTTACATTACAAAATAGTGGATGGCAGTATAGATGCAATATAATGGAATACAAGAGGGATCAGAGGGCTCTGCTGCTGACTATAGGGAGTTTATTTAGTAAATTATTGTGATCGCTGCCATACTCACCTTGGTCATAATCTGACCAATGAAAGAAGAATATGTAAACAAAAAAAAATAGAACCAGTAAAAATAATGGCTGAGTGATGCGTTCCCCAGGACGAGTGCAGGATGTAAACCATCAATCCAATAGTGCACTTGGATGCCTTTAAACAAAGACACGCCCCACAGAGTCTCCTATTGTCCAGTAAGAAATAGAGGCTCGACCGGCCGCCGCCAATGAGTGCAGAGAGAGGCGAGTCCACTACTTCCGGGTTGGATGGATTCAGGTGAGATGATGGCACTGTTATATGGGGGGGATCAATTAATGGGGAGCAAAGGAGGGTGAGGGGGAACCTGGAGATCCACGTTGACAGCAGCGGGGAGAGCAACGAGTGTGCATGGATCAGGGAGCTGGGGGGAGGGGAGGCTGTGCATCAATGGAGAGCTGGATCATCTTTATACACAGCACAGAGGGAGAGATCATGTCATTATACAAAGCACAGGGAGACAGGGATCCTGATATATGCAGGAGAGAGATTCTGTCATTCTATACAGCACTGAGAGAGGGGGGTCAGGCACAGGGGGAGAGGGATCCTGTAATTACATACAGCTCAAGGAAGGGATGCTGTCATTATATACCATAGAGGGATTCTGTCAATGTATAAAGCATAGGGAGTTAGATCATGTCATTATATACAGCATAGGGAGATAGATCATGTCATTATATACAACTTAAGGAAAGGATCATGTCATTTTGTAGGATAGGGAGGGATCCTGTCATTATATACTATAGAGGGATTCTGTCAATGCACAAGGAGAGATCATGTCATTATATGTAGCATAGGGAGAGAGATCATGGCATTATATGCAGCATAGGGAGAGAGATCATGGCATTATATATAGTAAAGGGAGAGCGATCATGTCATTATATACAGCATAGAGAGAGAGATCATGTCATTATATGCAGCATAGGGAGAGAGATCATGTCATTATATGCAGCATAGGGAGAGAGATCATGGCATTATATACAGGAAAGGGAGAGCGATCATGTCATTATATATAGTAAAGGGAGAGCGATCATGTCATTATATACAGCATAGAGAGAGAGATCATGTCATTATATGCAGCATAGGGAGAGAGATCATGTCATTATATGCAGCATAGGGAGAGAGATCATGTCATTATATAGTAAAGGGAGAGAGCGATCATGTCATTATATACAGCATAGAGGGAGAGATCATGTCATTATATGCAGCATAGGGAGAGAGATCATGGAATTATATACAGTAAAGGAGAGCGATCATGTCATTATATATATCATGTATTATATGCAGCATAGGAGAGAGAGATCATGTCATTATATGCAGCATAGAGAGAGAGATCATGTCATTATATGCAGCATAGGGAGAGAGATCATGTCATTATATGCAGCATAGGGAGAGCGATCATGTCATTATATGCAGCATAGGGAGAGCGATCATGTCATTATATATGCAGCATAGGGAGAGAGATCATGTCATTATATGCAGCATAGGAGAGAGATCATGGCATTATATACAGTAAAGGGAGAGAGATCATGTCATTATATGCAGCATAGAGAGAGAGATCATGTCATTATATGTAGCATAGGGAGAGAGATCATGGCATTATATACAGTAAAGGGAGAGCGATCATGTCATTATATATAGTAAAGGGAGAGAGATCATGTCATTATATGCAGCATAGAGAGAGAGATCATGTCATTATATGCAGCATAGGGAGAGAGATCATGTCATTATATGCAGCATAGGGAGAGAGATCATGTCATTATATGCAGCATAGGGAGAGAGATCATATCATTATATGCAGCATAGGGAGAGCGATCATGTCATTATATGCAGCATAGGGAGAGAGATCATGTCATTATATGCAGCATAGGAGAGAGATCATGGCATTATATGCAGCATAGGGAGAGAGATCATGTCATTATATGCAGCATAGGGAGAGAGATCATGGCATTATATACAGTAAAGGGAGAGCGATCATGTCATTATATGCAGCATAGAGAGAGAGATCATGTCATTATATGTAGCATAGGGAGAGAGATCATGGCATTATATACAGTAAAGGGAGAGCGATCATGTCATTATATATAGTAAAGGGAGAGCGATCATGTCATTATATACAGCATAGGGAGAGAGATCATGGCATTATATACAGTAAAGGGAGAGCGATCATGTCATTATATGCAGCATAGAGAGAGAGATCATGTCATTATATGTAGCATAGGGAGAGAGATCATGGCATTATATACAGTAAAGGGAGAGCGATCATGTCGTTATATATAGTAAAGGGAGAGCGATCATGTCATTATATACAGCATAGGGAGAGAGATCAAGTCATTATATACAGCATATGGAGAGAGATCATGTCATTATATACAGCATATGGAGAGAGATCAAGTCATTATATACAGTAAAGGGAGAGAGATCGTGTCATTATATACAGCATAGGCAGAGAGATCAAGTCATTATACAGTTGCAAGAAAAAGTATGTGAACCCCTTGGGATTACGTGGAGTTTTGCATGAATTGGGCATAAAATGTGCTCTGAACGTCATCTAAGTCACAACGACAGAAGAACACAGTCTGATGAACATAATACTACACAAACATTAGATGTTGCCATGGTTTGCACATAACATGTAAACATTCACAGTACAGGGAGGAAAAAGTATGTGAACCTTTGGACTTAATAACTGGTTGACCCTCCTTTGGCAGCAATAACCTCAACCAAACGTTTCCTGTAGTTGCAGATCAGACCTGCAACAACAATCTGGAGTAATTTTGGACCATCCTCTTCACAAAAACTGTTTCAGTGTAGCAATATTCTTGGGATGTCTGGTGTGAATCGCTCTCTTAAGGTCATGCCACAGCATTTCAATCGGGTTGAGGTCAGACTCTGACTGGGCCACTCCAGAAGGCGTATTCTGTGCTGTTGCAGCCATTGTTTTGTTGAATTACTTGTATGCTTTGGGTCATTGTCCTGTTGCATCACCCATCCTCTGCGGAGCTTCAGTTGGTGGACAGATGGTCATACGTTTTCCTGCAAAATGTCTTGATAAACTTTGGAATTCATTTTCCATCAATGACAACAATCCCTCCAGGCCCTGAGGCAGCAAAGCAGCCCAAACCATGATGCTCCCTTCGCCATGTTTTACAGTGGGGATGAGGGTTTTGATGTTGGTGTGCTGTGCCTTTTTTTCTCCACACATAGTGTTGTGTGTTCTTCCCAAACAACTCAATCTTGGTTTCATCTGTCCACAGTATATTTTGCCAGTAGTGCTGTGGAACATCCAGGTGCTCTTTTGCAAACTTCAAACGTGCTGCAATATTCTTTTTGGACAGCAATGGCTTCCTCCGTGGTGTCCTCCCATGCACTCCATTCTTGTTTAATGTTTTCCTTATTGTAGATGTGTCAACAAAAATGTTAGCATGTGCCAGAGATTTCTGTAGATCTTTAGCTGACACTCTGGGATTCTTCTTTACCTCATGCAGCATTCTGCGCTGTGCTCTTGCAGTCATTTTTACAGGACGACCATGCCTAAGGAGAGTAGCAACAGTGCTAAACTTTCTCCATTTGTAGACAGTCTGTCTTACTGTGGACACATGAACATCAAGGCTTTTGGAGATACTTTTGTAACCCTTTCCAGCTTCATGCAAGTCAACAATTCTTGATCGTAGGTCTTCTGAGAGCTCTTTTCTGCGAGGCATGGTTCACATCAGACAGTGCTTCTTGAAACCAGTAAACCCAAAACAGGTGTGTGTTTTTTAAGGGCAGGACAGCTGTCAGCAACACATCCAATATCATCACACTGATTGGAGTCAAGGTTGGCTCACTCCTGGCTCCAATTAGCTCTGGGAGAAGTCATTAAGCTAGGGCCTCACATACTTTTTCCTCCCTGCACTGTGAATGTTTACATGTTATGTGCAATTAAACCATGGCAACATCTAATGTTTGTGTAGTATTATGTTCAGCAGACTGTGTTCTTCTATTGTTGTGACTTAGATGACGTTCAGAGCACATTTTATACCCAATTCATGCAAAACTCCACGTAATCCCAAGGGGTTCACATACTTTTTCTTGCCACTGTATACAGTAAAGGGAGAGAGATCGTGTCATTATATACAACTTAAGGAAAGGATTATGTAGCATAGGGAGGGATCATGTGATTATACACAGCACAGGGAGAGAGGGATCCTGTAATTACATACAGCTCAAGGAAGGGATCCTGTCATTACATACAGCATAGGGAGAGAGGAGTTCTGTCATTATATACCATAGTGGGATTCTGTCACAGGGAAGGAATCCTGATATATACAGGAGAGAGATTTTGTCATATACAGCACTGAGAGAGAGGGGTCAGGCATTATACACAGCAAAGGGAAAGAGGTCTTGACTTTCTATACATACAGCTCAAAAGGGATCCTGTCATTATATACAGCACAGAGAGAGAGGAATTCTGTCAACGTATACAGCTCAGGGAAAGCGAAAATGTCATCATATACAGCTCAATGAAGGGATTATGTCATTTATACAGCATAGGGAGCATTTAGTTACTATAGAGGGGGAGGGATGATGTCATTATATACAACTCAATGATGGGGTCCTGTCATTATTATACACAAGCTGCTGATATAGGATAAATGTAGGTGGCCATATATTTATTTATACATACATATACAGTATATTTACACACAAATGTCTCTGCTGTTTTTCAGAGATGTCTTCGGGTCTGGAAGAAGAATTGAAAACTCTCTTCAGCGGGGGAGCTGCCCCACTACCTGACCAATATGACATGATGTCGGAGAGCCCTCGACCCCTAAAATTGAGACAAAATGTCTGCTACATTGTCATGGGAGTATTACTGAATGAGCAGGTCGGTTATTCTGTGGTTTCTGTAACATGTCAATGTCAAGGGTCATGATTGTTGTTTTTTTTTGTTTTGTTTTTTTTAAATATCACCTTTATTCATCCTTTGTTGCTGATTTCCTGCAGCATCATTACAGCCACTTCATGTCTATGTGTACTCCAGCAATGGTTGCATATCATTCCTCTTGTTGGATCATGATTGTGAAATGTGTGATGCCATTCTTCTTTTAGTCTCCATTCGGAGAGCATGTGACAGGGTGACAATGCAGAATTCACCCCTTTGTTGGCCTATGTCTCCTATCTTCTTTCCATCCCAGCACTGCAGCCTATGTCAGCCTCTTCAGCATTCATTTCAAGGGTTCCTCCATGTTAACAAGGTTGAGAAAGGATGGGTTTAAGGGTGAAACCACAACGTGGCAAGTGAAGCAGACATCTGGAACTCCCGAAAGTGTCAAATGCTGAAGAGATTGGTGGAGGGTGCAGTGCTGGAACAGAAGGATGTCCAGTGACACAGGTTGCTGGAAGGAGAGTATAATGCTAGGTTCAGACATTTGCTTGTGTACAAAATTATGTGCAGGAAAACCCGCAGCCATTTAGCAGACAAGCAGCAGTGTCATTAATTGTTCCCGTTACCCCACCCATCTACAAATGCACACATTTTTGTGCATGCCAAACATTTTCAGTGCTGCATATTTTTAGAAAAGAGTCAGGGTCTTCTATTCCACGTTTCATGTGCGTAGGGCACCCATTAAAATGAGTGAGCTGCCCCATGCACAGAAATGTGCCTGCACTTGGTCGCACTTGTAGGTGTAATCTAAGCCTAAGGCAAAGTTTATGCTTGATTATTCTCTGAAAAGCTATTTGCATTGCTTTTCAGAGTGTGGTTAATCAGCTGCCGGGGAGGGGTTCAGGAGGCAATCCTGAATGCCTGTGTTTTTGTTTTATTTTTTTGAAGAATGGCAATTTATAATGGGACTAATACATTGCAATGCAGTTGCATTGTGGCCCCATTGTTTTGAATGTGAGAGTTTGACAAGTGATATCACCATGTCCTGTTCAATTTATTGTATTATTATTATACAGGATTTATATAGCGCCAACAGTTTGCACAGCGCTTTACAATGTAAGGGAGACAGTACAATTCCAATACATTTCAGTACAGAAGGAATAGGAGGGCCCTGCTTGTGGAGCTTACAATCTAAAGGAAGGGGGAGGTGATACAAAAGGTGATAGCTGCGGGGGATGATCTGGCGGAGGTGATTCAAGTACAATTTTTAGGTGGAGGTGGGGTAGGCTTCCCTGAAGAAGTGAGTTTTCAAAGATTGCCTAAAGGCAGACAGGGTGGGGGCTGACCGGACATGCTGTGGTAGGGAGTTCCAGAGGATGGGAGAGGCTCTGGAGAAGTCCTGGAGGTGAGCATGGGAGGAGGTGATGAGTATATTGTAAAGAAGCATCACAGATTTGGCATGTAAACAGTCCTCCCCCTCCACCACCCCCAGCCCCCCAGCTGTCTTGTAGTCTTCAAGTGGGTGGTAAAACCGGTGTTCAGTTTACCTCCCTCTGGCTGCCCATGTTCAGAAGCCTTACAGCCCTTCTCTTGCTGGAAACTGGCCTTTAAAACTGTCTTTTATCCTAACAGGGTCATTATGAAGCCTATATAAGATTTTAGTGACTGGGTTTACATAACCTAGCTTCTCTAGTTAACACTGTATAATGAACCTATTAGATCTTGTTCACCTTGTCCATGATGATGCTATTAGACCTTGTACACATAGACTTTACTTTATACAAGAACAGTGTGTACAGTAAGCTTTTACAATGCATTTGTGAAGATTTTGGCAAGCTTTGAGCAGATTTGTTGAAGCATTTAAATAGAAAACTTTAGTTCTAATATGGGGATGTTTTAAAATAACAATGAGCCCAACATAGCTGAAGGGATAACTACTGCCAACATCCCTGTAAGCAATACAGAAAAAACATGATCAGAAGGTCAGGAGAACCCCATGGGACTTTGAGGGCAGAAAAGTATAAAACATACAAACCAATTGTCAATCTTTATTTGTAATAACAGGAAATGGCCAGCAAAATTGAATAAAACAGAATGTGATACACCAACTAAATAAACCAACATATACCCTAATGGATTACAGATACATCAATGTAGATACTTCTTGATTGGCAGTGGTGTATTCTTCCCATAACTCCCAACATGTTTCGGAACAAAGTTCCTTCCTCAGGGGAATTTATTATTTTTTTCTGTGGACGTCTGCATTGAAACGAGCTCTATTGATACACGTAATAATTGTAAGTTTCTTTATCTATTGAAGCATTTGCATACATCAATCTGCCGTGTTTACAATTTGCAAGATATATTTTGACTTTTACTGTATACATTATTGATATGACATTATTGTATTGTAGTACCACTATACCAGTATGTTACCCTGAGGAAGGAACTTCGTTCCGAAACATGTTGGGAGTTATGGGAAGAATATATCACTGCCAATCAAGACATGTACAGTGGGGATCGAAAGTTTGGGCACCCCAGCTAAAAATTTGTATTAATGTGCATAAAGAAGCCAAGGAAAGATGGAAAAACCTCCAAAAGGCATCAAATTACAGATTAGACATTCTTATAATATGTCAACAAAAGATAGATTTTATTTCCATCATTTACACTTTCAAAATAACAGAAAACAAAAAAATGGCGTCTGCAAAAGTTTGGGCATCCTGCAGAAGCCATCTTTCCTTGGCTTCTTTATGCACATTAATACAATTTTTTAGCTGGGGTGCCCAAACTTTCGATCCCCACTGGTGTATCTGTAATCCCTTTGGGTATATGTTGGTTTATTTTGTTGGAGTAGCACATTCTGTTTTATTCAATTTTACTGGACATTTGGCCATTTCCTGTTATTACAAATAAAGATTGACAATTGGTCTTTTAATATACTGTATGTTTCTGACTCTTCAAAGTCCCATGGGGTTCTCATGACCTTTTGGTCCTGTTTTTTCTGTAATATGGGGATGTTAAACACAGCTCTCATTGGGAGTGCTGACTGTCACTTTAACTAAGCTACTAGTAGGTGACAGTCACACTCGCATAGAGTTATATTGTGCTTTAAAGGCTTCAGCAAAGCTGCTGAAGGCTTGCTAAAAACCTTTTTAATAGCTTGCTGCACACACTACTCTTCTATAGGCTGACACCTGTGTGAACCAGGCCTTAGGGAAACATAGATGGGACTTTATGAATTATGGTCAAAGCTGAGTCCCTTCATCCCTCTGGGGCAAAGGGTCCAGCAGCGATGGGTGCCTATGTCATATTTGGGATGGTATGTATTTGAGAAGTTGCAATGCTTTGCTTGTATCTTTGTGTACTGCTCTGCAGGACGAGGTGCTGATGATGCAGGAGGCCAAAGCTGAGTGCTTGGGTACCTGGTATCTCCCTGCTGGACGTCTGGAGAGAGGAGAGACCCTGGTGGATGGGCTGTGCCGAGAGGTCAAAGAGGAGACCGGATTAACCTGTGAGCCCATCACTCTGCTGGCTGTGGAGGAGAGAGGAGCCGCCTGGGTGCGATTTGTATTCCTTGCCCAACATACAGGTACACAGAAGTTTATTTAAAAGATACGTCCACCGGATGTTTTAAAGTTTTACATGGGTGCCTCTTTGCCTGTCTCCATACAGCCAGGTACACATCAGGAGAGAACAACGAAATAGTAGCAATTCTTCTTTGCTTGTTTTGAAGGATTATCCATTCAGAACTTAGTTTTTCAGTCTTGGATGGTGTCCTTTCTGAATATGTGGTACCATGGTTTAAAAAAAAAAAAAAAAAAAAAAAAAGAAAAGTGGGGCATGATGTGTATGTGGTGATAATAGCTTGAGAAAAGCTGTTGTAGCTGGGGAGGTCCATAAGGTCAGGCATCCTTAGGAAGGGGGGGGGGGGATGGCTTGGTCTGCTACACTGCTGAATTTATCAGTGCAGACACATTGCAAATCTGGATCTCTTATATTCCATAAGGAGGATTTATTTCATGAGGGGGAATGTAAACCCCCCCCGCCCTCAATCTTGCCTTCCCTGTATTATTTGTTGCCATATTCATCCTAACGTACAGTGTATAGGCACAACTCTTTGTTTCACTGCATTTGCACATGTATGCAACAGAGATCTTTGTGTTTTTTAAATTACAAAGTAGACAAGTTTTTAATAAACATATGTTAGGTAGTATTACTAGGTGCTAAAAATTAGTGTTCTGTACCTTTAGTGAATTACTTGCACCTCGTTTTTCATTGAGGTGTTTGCTGTCTTCTCTTTAGCAATGCATGTCTCATTGTTTTTCTGTTTTTTATAGTGGACTCAAAAAGAAGTAACTTTTTTTTTTTTAACTAAGACTACAAGAGTTGCATAGATCGAATATCATTCAAAGAAGATGTATCAAAGTCACAGTGCCAGTGAGACATAACTGTAGATACAAGGGGTAAGGGTGCAGAGCTCCCTCTACTGGTTGTCATGATAAAACTTACAGTAGAGTACTTTGTGGCTCTGTAGTTGTAGTTCTTAACTGTAGTTCCATCTAGTTCAGCCTTTCTCAACACAGAGGAACCTTAATTTTCTGGTCTCAGGGAACCCGTGTCAAAAAATACTGTATCTACAACTGATGATACATTAGTGTGATGGTCAAGAATGTTCCTTAAACATGTGGTCATTCGGAAGAATTACCCCTTTTACAGATAGCTCAAAAGATCAATGGTTGTCAGTGGGAGATTACCTGAGAGGCAGAAACTGCTTATTGCTCAAGGAACCCCTAGCAACTCTGGAGGAACCCTGGTTGAGAAATCCTGAATTAATTGGTAGGATGACAGGCATAGCTCTAACCTACGTGAATGTACTTGCTTGTTATGTATTATGACATACTATCACTATGATCCTTGTTCTCCTTCTAGGTGGTACTTTGAAGTCTCCAGCCTCAGCAGACAAGGAATCTCTCCAGGCCTCTTGGTGGGACAGGGTTTCCCCTCTGCCCCTGCGCTGTAGAGATATCCTTCCTCTCATAAAGCTGGCAGTGGAGTACAGGAACCAACCTTCGCACCCCTATATTCTACCTCTGCTGTATCCTTCTCCATTCCTCATACTGCGGATGCTCCTAGTTTGCTTAACTACCCCAGGAGAATTGTGGGTCCTGCAGAGTGCCAGTGCCCCTGCCCGCCTACCCGCTGCTGTCTGTGCTACCCATGGAGGAAGCATTCTCAACCCCTTGCGTAACCTGCTGCAAGATCCTCCCAAATCTTATGGCATTTTAGGGGTACAGCACCAAGGTGGGGATGGTGCAGATGGAGTTTGTTTGACCATCATGGGAGTATTCAGCGACCAAGAACCACCCCATGTCAGAGTGGACAGTCTCAGCTGGGTACTGATGGAGGATGAAGAGCTGAAGAATAGCATAGAGAAAGCAGCACTCCTGCCATTATACAGCTGAGTTTCAGAAAAGATGGCAGATTTAGAGCTTTGCATGTATGCACCGTTGTGCTGTGAACAAACATGATCACACTTATATGATAAGGCGAGGTAGATGGCCAGAATAATGTGATAACTAATCAGATTTTGCTGGACTTAAGCCAACAGAAGGTCAATTTCAACTAGCCGGGCCAAGCCACTTTGCCTTCTTGCATAAGCCTGATTATGTGTATGCTTTGCCTTATGACTAGTTAAGCTAGGCCTGTGGGGGCCATCGCATATTAAAGCCATTTCTGTTGTACCTCAAATAAGGGCTTGAGAGAAGAAATAAGCCAGACTAGGGGTATACTACTCAAGAGAAGTTTACAGGTCACGAGAAACTTAAATTCTAGATTATCTACATTTCAGGGATACGGGATTTAAGGGTAGCTGTCATACATCTGTTGCTGCCTTTTTGTGGCATTCATGCCTTTATTCATAGCAAAATTATTACAGGATTGGGGCACAAAATGGCAAACATACTGCGGTTGCAGGGTGTGGAGCTATGCAAGAGACTGCTCAGGTGTTGTTCCCGTGAAGGGAAATCTAAGGAATTCACATAGAAACAAGTGGCGTGCAGAAGCTTGCAGTGATGACATTCTTACCGCAGGATGACATCATCACACACTGTTTCTGCAGTTATTTAAAGACAGATTGAACCCTCTTAATTTATTACTGCAATGCAGTCAGGCAACTCTTGTAGTAGTTTATATATGCCTTTTTTTTCTTTTTTAATCAGCAATGTGCGGCAGCACATAAGAAATCTGGAACGCACTCTTAAACAAATGGCTGTCTTGATGTCCAACACCGCCCACTGAACACTGATCTAACCAACATCACTCTTGCTCCATGAACAGCATTGGTGATTAGATCAGTGATCCTGGGGACGTGTCAGACAGCTAGGCTGCTATTTGTATGGAACAGTAGCAGTCAGACTCTCCTAGTGCTGCTGGCACATGATTTTTTAACACTTGCTTCAGCACTTGTCAGATAAATACAAGGGAACACAAATTTGTATACATTACTATATGTATCCTGACTGTATATACAGTTCAACTGGGCTTTAACTTCTGCTGTGACAAGGTATGCCCTACAGTTCACTGTTAAGATATGTAGAATCGATTACGCCAAGCATTTATTGCATGCCAGAGCCCTGCAATATGTAAATCAGTCATTAGTTTTTCTGGTGCCTTGTACCACTCTGCGTTCATCGATTTCTATAGAGCTGGAATGTTAAAACTGAAGTTTAGCCAAGTAAAAAAAATAGATCTCTAAAGTTTAAGTGATCCAACTTACCTGTAAATGTAGTATGTTCCACATTGTGCAGGCAGCCAGATCCTGGAGAAATCTTCCATGCTGGGATACCTGTCCTCTTCTCGTCTCTGAACTTCTGATGCTGCGGGGGGTTATTATGTGTTCTGTTAAAAAGTCTCCAAATGAGGTACTATCCCCACCTACATTGCTAACCATTCTTTCATTGCTTTCACTACCTGTAATGCAATCTGTGAATCCTTGGACTCTCCCCTATTCAAAGATCATATTACAGGCAGTGACAGGGATGAAAGAAGGTTTATCAATGGAGATGGGTCCTTGTTGGAGACCTTTTCACAGAAGACCTGAAGCTATTAACCCCTGCAGGGCTAAAAGGTCAGAGACAGGAAGAGGACAGGGCATCCCTGCAGTGAAGATTTCTCCAGGATGCAGCTGCCTGCACAATGTGGAACATACTACATTTAGCCAGCTGCCTGCAGGATGTTGGACATCCTTCATTATAGGTACGTTAGCTCACTACGTAAAGGTTTTGTATGGTTAAACTTCAGCTTTAAACCAATGTGTTTTTGTGCCAAACGGGTCATCCTGCTTCTTTCCCTGCAGCCTGATCCAGCCAAAGAATTTAAACTGAATGTGATACTACAGTACATCTATGGCTTTACTTACTTCTTGCCTTGATTGTTGAGAATTTTAAAAAATAGGTTCTTACACCTTTTTATGGTAAAGCTGAACTGTAGCCATCTAGAAAATGTCATAGAATGCAGCTGGCCTGTTTTTTATTATAGAAAAATGTCATCCCTATGTTACTTACTGGCTTCAGTATCACTTGATCAAGAATCGGCTTTGTCCAGCTGTCTAGCAGCAAAGTGGCAGTACAGGCACTGACTTTTGGGAGAGATTTAGGAAAACATAATTGGCCTGCTCAGAGAGTCCCTTTGTATTTTGTGCCATGGCTGGTAGGTGGGGAATGTGATTCACAGGTCACAGACATTGCCCCTGCTATCCTGCAAGAGCTGTCAACAGGGGAAACTGCAAGTGATTCCACATCGAAAGCCTTAGCGTTCACGGTTAATATTATTATTATACAGGATTTATATAGTGCCAACAGTTTGCTCAGCGCTTTACAAAATGAAGGTAGACATTACAGTTACAATACACTTTGGTACAAGAGGAAACAGAGGGCCCGGCTCGCTAGAGCTTACAATCTAATAAATCCATTTCACACCATACCTGGGCACTAGAAATATGATTGTACTGGGGTGGCTACAAATCAGCATTAAAACGTGCCAAGTTGAGAGACAATCGTTACATATTTTAAAAATATTTTTTAAATATATTTTATAATTGCTAATCCAAAAAGTGCTGTAGTAATTTGGGAGTTAGGCAGACCTCTTCACATCTATTGCTGCTTCTTTCAGCTATTTTGCTCAGTTTGTCACTCAATTTCAGTTTCTATCAGCTAGATGGAGCGCACTGCTAGTACAGCCAGGCTTTAGCACTACACACAAGTCAGACAGACCATGTCCTGACTGCTTTCTGTCTACATTCATGCTCCCCACAGGATTGAGTGACATGGGTACACTGGAGAACCCCTGTGAATATTTATTTATACCCTGCTTGAGCTGCTTAGTTTTCTTATTATGAGCTGTGCAATATAATATATATATATATATATATATATATATATATATACTTTAAAGTGGAACTAAACTCTCCTCCCCTTGCAGTCATCTTTGCCTCATCTTTTTACATGCTCGGGATCTTCTGACATCTTGATCAGGGATGAGCACAAGTGGATACAAGTCTAAACCAGCCCAAGTGTTATCCTACCAGGAAATGCGGATAGTCAATTATGGTGGCGGAGGCATGCCATGTCCCTTGCATACGTGCAGCTGCAGGACAGGGAGTGCCTCTACCACCGATGATTGGCTGTTTGCTTTGATGGCTTCCCAGTAGGATAGCTTGGGTGGGTTTGGACTCATGACTGAATATGCCTGAGCTCATTCCTAATTTTGATTGGCTGGAATGATGCAACTCCTGAGCACGCACATGGGAGTTCATTCATTCTAGCAGGTAACTTTGATTTTATTGCAGAAGAGTATATATCTTTTGCTGTAAGGGGTTTGCCTGCTCACAGTTTAGTTCCACTTTAATGTAGGAAAATGTAGTAAAATGATGTAAACCTTTATATTTTCATAAAGTGTACAAAATTTGTTGCTGTGCTTGAATATAATAAACTATACAACCTTCACCTGTGTGTACGTAGGTTTTTTTTTATGGATGTAGTCGAAGGGGGGTAGAGCATGGATCCATGCAGTTGAAAAGGTACAGTGGGGCAAAAAAGTATTTAGTCAGCCACCAATTGTGCAAGTTCTCCCACTTAAAAAGATGAGAGAGGCCTGTAATTGGCATCATAGGTAGACCTCAACTATGAGAGACAAAATGAGAAAAAAAATCCAGACAATCCCATTGGCTGATTTGGAAAGAATTTATTTGCAAATTATGGTGGAAAATAAGTATTTGGTCACCTACAAACAAGCAAGATTTTTGGCTCTCACAGACCTGTACCTTCTTCTTTAAGAGGCTCCTCTGTCCTGCACTCATTACCTGTATCAATGGCACCTGTTTGAGGTTGTGGACAGGTGTCTTTTATACTGATAACAAGTTCAAACAGTCACACTCCAAACTCCACTATGGTGAAGACCAAAGAGCTCTCGAAGCAAAATTGTAGACCTGCACCAGGCTGGGAAGACTGCAATAGGCAAGCAGCTTGGTGTGAACAAATCAATTGGGGGAGCAATAATTAGAAAATGGAAGACATACAAGACCACTAATAATCTCCCTTAATCTGGGGCTCCACGCAAGATCTCACCCCGTGGGGTCAAAATGATCACAAGAACGGTGAGCAAAAATCCCAGGACCACACGGGGGGACCTAGTGAATGACCTGCAGAGAGCTGGGACCAACGTAACAAAGGCTACCATCAGTAACACACTACGCCGCCAGGGACTCAGATCCTGCAGTGCCAGACGTGTCCCCCTGCTTAAGCCAGTACATGTCCAGGCCCATCTGAAGTTTGCTAGAGAGCATTTGGATGATCCAGAAGAGGATTGTGAGAATGTCATATGGTCAGATGAAACCAAAATAGAACTGTTTGGTAGAAACAACTCATCGTGTTTGGAGGAGAGAGAATGCTGAGTTGCATCCAAAGAACACAATACCTACCGTGAAGCATGGGGGTGGCAACATCATGCTTTGGGGCTGTTTCTCTGCAAAGGGACCAGGACGACTGATCCATGTACAGGACAGAATGAATGGGGGCCATGTATTGTGAGATTTTGAGTGCAAACCTCCTTCCATCAGCAAGGGCATTGAAGATGAAACGTGACTGGGTCTTCCAACATGACAATGATCCCAAACATACCGCCCGGGCAATGAAGGAGTGGCTTCGTAAGAAGCATTTCAAGGTCCTGGAGTGGCCTAGCCAGTCTCCCGATCTCAACCCCATAGAAAACCTTTGGAGGGAGTTGAAAGTCCGTGTTGCCCAGCGACAGGCCCAAAACATCACTGCTCTAGAGGAGATCTGCATGGAGGAATGGGCCAACATACCAGCAACAGTGTGTGCCAACCTTGTGAAGACTTACAGGAAACGTTTGACCTCTGTCATTGCCAACAAAGGATATATAACAAAGTATTGAGATGAACTTTTGA